AACTAGAGACCATCCTTCTAAGAGAAGTATTAAAAGAATGGAGAAACAAATACACATGTACTCACCATTAAGTTGGTACTAATTGACCAATACTAATGTGCACATATAGGAAGTAACATTCATAGGGTGTTGGGCAGGTGGGAAGGGGGTAGAAGGGGATGGGTAAATCCACACTAACCAACGTGGTTCACACTGTCTGGGTAATGGGCACGCTTTTTAGGTGGTGCAAAGGAAATTTATGTAACCCAAGCCTTTGTATCCTCATAATACTCTGAAATAAAGAAAAGAAAAGTCTGTAGGAAATATTCCTACCAACATTTTAAACAGCTGTAAGTTTTATTTAAACGTCATGTTAAATGCAGAAAGAACACAGTTCAGCGATGGTGTGGAATTTCTTAGGGACCTGTGATTCTCATGAGCATTGATGGAGGTTAACCATGATGAATTTTCCACAGAGAACAGAGATAGCTTCTCTGCTTCTATAGAGACCACTTGGATAAGACCCAACCCCAAGATTTAGCAAATCTAAAACTTGAAAGAAGAGATGACATCACCCTTTACCTCAAGGGAAAATCAGGGCTCAACAAAGATCTGAAACTTAAGGGTCTGTTTCAAAAACTCACAACATGAGAAAAGTAAAATAAGTTTTCGTTAAGAAAACTTATAAATATCACCTACCTCTTCAGGCAAATTCTTAAAGGAAAGGAATTCTGAGAAAACATTAAAGAAAAACTCCTCTCTTGCAGACTCCTTATGCTAGTTGATATTATAGCAGTAGTGCCTTTGATGATATTCTTTTGCTAATAAATTTTTAAACTGGAAAGAGAAATTGGCTTCCCAAAATGAGCATCGGCCTTGGGTTTCTGCAGCCAGAATTCTGATGTGATTCATTGAAGACATACACTGGGGCCAATAAGGGCTGTGGTCAGCATGAATAGCATGCCCAGGAATCCACCGTCTAGCCAGCATGCCTGAAGGTATTGATTCTCATAGAATGAGATTGGTCTATGTGGTGGGCTTGAATTTCAAAACCCCAAGCTGATGTCTTAGCTATCCATGTACAGTCAATTTGACTCAAAGTTATTTTTTTTTTAAAGAAAGGTAGAGGCTTCTTCAAAGATGGCTTAACATTTCTCTCTCTCTGCCTGCCTGTATTTACTCTGGGAACAAAAACAGAGTAAAAAGAAAGAAGGGGAAAGCACATAATACCTTGGGGTGTGGGGCTCTTGGTTTGCTTGTGAATACTGAAAGATGAAGCATATCACAGGTGACAAGAGTTTTAGGCAGCTTTCTAAGATCAGGAACAGATGACGCAAGGTCAGGGCAGTACTGAGAAATTCTCACCAAGCCCCAAGTGGAAGCTGCCTCTGGAAGTGTTCTATCTTAGCGTACTTTGCTGAGAGATTTTTCTGTTCAGTTGGGTATGTGACCAAGACAGGGTGTTGGCCTTTCCAAATATGGCATCACCAGTCATCTATACATGCTACCATCTCCAAGTCTGACAGTTTGTTGCAGTCATATTTTGGTGACAACTGGGTAGAGATCAAGAGAGGAACAAGTCCATCCAGTCTCGTCTAGTGTGGTTCTTTCTGTAATCACTTCTTCCCATCCATCTTAGAGTACTATGTAGAATAGGACAGGCCAAAGCAAACATTTCCAAAAAATGATGTGACTTGCAAAAATATGCAAATCCAATGACACTCTACAAAAAAGACACCTGCACTCGAATGTGTATAGCAGCACAATTCATAATTGCAAGGCTGTGGAAACAGCCCAAGTGCCCATCAATCCAAGAATGGATTAATAAAATGTGGTCTATGTATACCATAGAGTACTATTCAGCTCTAAGAAACAACGGTGATATAGCACATCTTATATTTTCCTGGTTAGAGCTGGAACCCATACTACTAAGTGAAGTATCCCAAGAATGGAAAAACAAGCACCAGATATATTCTCCAGCAAACTGGTATTAACTGAGTAGCACCTAAGTGGACACATAGGTACTGCAGTAATAGGGTATTGGGCAGGGGGGAGGGGGGTGGGGGCGGGTATATACATGCATAATGAGTGAGATGTGCACCATCTGGGGGATGGTCATGCTGGAGACTCAGACTTTTGGGGGGAGGGGGGAAATGGGCATTTCTTGAAACCTTAAAATCTGTACCCCCATAATATGCCGAAATAAAAAAAAAATTATAATAAGATACTCCTTTTTTTTTTTTTTTTTTTTTTTTTACCTATCAGGCAAGAACCATGATTATATCCAGTGTCAGATGGGATGTGAAGAAGAAAATATGGTCTTGCCTATATTGATGTGGAATTGTAAATTAGTTTTAACCCAGCAATTTCACTTGTGGAAATTGATCATAAGGAAATAATTTTAAAATGTGGACAAAGTTATATGTTCACTGAAGTGTCAGTTATTTTATATATATATATTGTATGAAGCAACATAAGTAGTCAAAAGTAGGTGATTGGCAAACTACAGTACTTGAAAATGATGGAATATTACAAAGTCCTTGGCCCTCAGGAAGACACTTCTGGGGCATATTCCATGAAGTCTCTCGGGCAGTTCCCAATGGATTAAACCCCAGTTGGCCACGGCGGTGACCCACTTATTGCCACATTCTTTATGGGCCTGTGCCCTTTCTGGTCTCACTTTTCCATGCCCTCATAACACTTCTTGGAGTCACGTTCACATATACAACTTGCAGAAAGAAGGAAAGACAGAAGTAGGGGAAGAAAAGGAAAATTGGGTAGGGATGTCTTGCAATCTTAGGTAAGATGGCCACTGGAAGTCAACGAGAGAGACAAGCAAGTGTAGAGTCCTGAAGGAAATGAGGCAGCCAGGCATGCAGTATCTGGGAGAAAACCATTCATGCAGAAGGAACAGCAATGCTAAGGCCCTGAGGCAGGAGCACACTTGGTCTGTTCCATGACCAGCAGCCAGTGTGGCTGGTGCAGAATGAATGTGATAAAGCTAATAAGATAAGAAGTCGGAAAGTTGAGCATATTTGAAAAGGCATAATACAATTTTGGCATTTACCATGAATGTAATGCAAAGCAATTGTCATTAGAATGCTCTGAGCAAAGAGCCACTTGTCTGATGTAGGTGTGAGCATTACAGGCTCCTGTATGGAGAATAGACTGAATGAAGGTGGCTAGGCAGAAGCAGGGAGACAAATCAGGAGCTTTGTCATCAGCCAGGTAAGAGATTATGGTGCTTTGAATCAACGTGATAGCAGTGCAGTTAGGTGGTGGGACCCATTATAAACCATGTTATGGGAGAATTATTATGATAACTATATAAATGCAAGCAAAAAAAAAAAAAAACAAGAGCAACAAAACTAAAACCTTATGACTATTATCTTTCAGACCTGAAAATAATTAAAGGATATGTTTCCAAACACTAGTTACCTTGGGTGGTTGGTACTTGCTTAAACCGTTCAAGTTTTCTAAATTATTTTTCTAATCAAAGGTACAGGACCTTTTATGATTTAAAGGCTCAGGACCTCAAAGGATCAAGCCACTGAATTTTCATTACCAGAGCTGTTTTGAGTATGTCTGTGGGGTTTTGCATTTCTACATATCTCACCTCTACTGCCTTTCAGGGAATAGTTTTCTTTTCCTTCCATTGAGAATACAGAGGAAAACACATTACCCACTGGTATTTCAGAAGATATTTTCATTGGTTAAGAACTAAGATTCTTCCTGCCAAGGTCAAGTTGTAAGAGCTGTCTAAACTAATAGTAAGTGAACATTGTGTGGTGTGTTGGGGTACTCTCTTGAGGACACAAGTAAAGACATTATCTTTTGTTATTACACCAAAAAGAACATGCTATTTGCTCCCTCATTCTTCCTGCCTGGGTCAAGAGGGACCATTTTGACGGGTTATCGTGTCCAATAACCAAGAATATAGCACTTAACCTGTTGAATAAATGCATTATATCTATTAGAATTAAATCATACAATCCTCCTGTTTTTCAAAAATAACTGAATGTTTTTATCACCAGACATGTTTTTGCATTGATACTCCTGGGGCTCCAAGGTTGTTTAGATATACATTCCTTTCTATCTTATTAGGAAACTATACCACTTTCATTGATTTTTCTCTGCTTAGTGACTAGAAAGTATATAAGAAAACATTTTTGTAAACAAGTCAAAAGAATAAATTTATTGTAAAGACACAGAAATGGTGTGCAAATCTCTGTCTTTTTTTTTAATGCAATGCAAAGAAAAGGTGGTTGGAATAGCAGAGCAAGCTAATTCACACATGTGGTTAAATCTTCGAGCATCCTTACATTTATAGAAGAAGATTCTTCCGATAAAGAGTTTAACTAACAAAGCATATTTTAGTTATTTTTAAGTAAAGAATATGCATTTATGCGTTATCGTTTATTTATGGGCAGATTTAGTCATAGAATAATGTCAGAAATAGTAGTAATATTGGTGATCATAACAGTTAAGTGTCTGACTTTGTATAAGATCTGTGCTAAGCAGATCTTTGTATAAGATCGGTGCTAAGCAGCTGACTTTTATCTCATTGTCTTCACAACAGTCAGAGAGAAATGCACTATTATTATTCTAGTTTTACAAATAAAGAAAGTAAATCTTAAAGAAGTTAAAGAAAATACATTGCTCTTGTGATTGGGCATTTAGAGACAGATAGTTAAGATCAGCATTCATAGTAAGACCTTCACTTGAAATTATTAATATTTAAAGGTTGCCTTGACACTTTTAATTTCTCTTGCCCACTGAACTCAGCAAGATGATTTGATGAGTATAGAAAAGTGGCAAAGCTGACTTATGGATAAAATAATCCTGGCATCCTATGAACCTGCTTATCTGGGCATGTTTTACTGATTACACAGCCAAAGGACCAAGTTCTAGTCCAGACCTCAGTCCTTTCTAGTTCTGTGTTCTTAAGGAAGTCCTTTAATATTTCTGAGCCTCAGATTCTTTAAATTGAAGCCTGAGAACAAAGCTTTGCTAGTCCCCTGGGTTCCCTCCAGTTGTGATATTTAAAAGTGACAACATGGTTACTTTCTACACACAGAAACTTGATTTATCACAGAAACTGGGGCAAGGCTGGACCAAGGAGCTAGCTATTAATAGATAAATATATTTGCACAGGGAAGTGACAGAGAAAAAAAAAATACCTAGGGAGGGAATTTTGCCTTCATTTATGGCCAGCTTCATTCCCAAATACATCAAAGCAATCATTCTCTTGAACAGACTTCTACAGACTCTCAAATGCCATATATAAGTTGACCTAGTCTTCACTTCAGTGTTCTACCTTATTCCTCCAGTGCTTAGGTTTGGTACATTCTATATGTATCATCTAAGAGTATTCCCAGTAAAATTAATACAAAATCTGACCTAAATTGGTTTCAACGCAAATGGAATTGACTGGCTCATAAAATCAAGAAGTCCTGAACTAGAACTCACTCCACAAGGATGGATGAAGACCCCAAACAAGTCATCCTCCATGTTACCAAGCCAGCTACATTCTCATTTTCTATGTGGAGGCCCACGTAACTCTAGAATCTGCCCTTACAATGGAAAGGAAGCCATACTATGGCTCCTAAAAGCAACACCTGAGAAATTTCCTATGCCTCTTATTAGCTCTGATTGGATCCCATGACCTTTCCTGAACCAATCACTGTGGAGACAAAACCTGCGATGTTCTGATTGGTTATACAGAGCCACACCTCACGCAGGCACCAGCGGAGGTCTAGGCAAATCCACCAGAAGCACCTGGAATGAGAAGTGCAGAAGGATTGAGCCCCACAGTGGAAAGGGGTACAGTTAAAAGAAGACTAAGGAGATGATTGGCAGGAAAAACAACACATGTGGCCTATGCTGTATTCCAGAGCAAAGGATCACAACCATGTTTGGGTCTACTGGCTGCTTTCAGAAAGCCATTATTTTCCCCTAATAACTGAGTAAAACCATAGTTGAGAGTCAATCTTTCTATCTTTTACTGTTGAGGAAATTGACTCCCTGAAGAGGTCAGATATTTGGGGGGCCACATTGCCTTTATCTGATGTAACTCAATACAATTTTAATATTTTCTCTATCTTGGAATGTATAGAACAGACAAAAAGAAACAAAATATTCTTCTCTCATTCCTTAGCTCCTTCAAAACCACCATCTGGAGAACTTAACATGAGTAGAATTTAAACATAAATATGTACTATCAGAGTTTTGTGGGTTTTTTTTTTTTTCTTTCCTAAGAGGGCCTTAATGGGTATTGACTTTGTTTTCAATCAACTAGACTTGCAGGTCAGTAACTGTTTCCTTCTGCATTTTGTCACATCATCATTTCATCATTTCTTCCTCTCCCTTCTCCCCCAGTTTATTCTACGGCTGACTTTACTAACTGGGCTTGAAAACTATTAAAATGAATACAGAGAAAATAATGAATTCAAATATGTCATTCCTAGAGGGACATATGGTAAGTAAGAAGAAATTACTGCTGCAAACGTCACCTTAGTTTTATTCTGTCAGATTATCTCCCAGTTCTGGGGTTATATTTATGTGATTTAAAAAGTACAAAGTGAATCTGGCCAAAGGCAAAAATTAAAACAGCGGCACAAGATTCCTGACTGTGCAAGTAAAGCCCTTGTATTAGACAAATTAACACTCTATAAAAAGAGGACCGGGGTCTGCTCCCCAGGGACAGCTCAGAATGAATGTAAAGGCCACAGGAGGCAAAGTAGACTGCGTCTGGAAATACAGTGAGGGCAGATGCTGTCAGGGCTGTGGCTTTGGAAGCCAGAACCCTTGTGGGCCCTCACATCTGTCAGGGATTGCCCTCAGGAATCAGTGGAAGTCGATGCAACAAATCCAGGCAGTTTCCCTGGCAACCAAAAATTAACTGTGGGGTCTTTTCAGACTTAGGGACATTTTTGGAGAGCAGAAATAAAAGCACCACCACGACAAAACTCTGGAGGGAAACTAATAAGGCACACCAAGTCGAGATAGTTTAAAATCAAGAGTGCTCTCTTTCTGTCTCTCCTCTCTTTTATTTTTATTTTTTTTTTCCGTTTTCTCTTCCCTGCCTCTCTCCTTTTACTTTTGCCTGCTACTATGGAATTTGTGGTTTCTGGGTCTTTCAAAAATTTGGGGGCTGTCTCTACTTTTGTATGAGTTCTTATATACTCTTTCTGGTTGTGAACAGATTTTTTTTTTTTCCTCACACTTTCAAAATGCTACTGATTCCTATGGAAAAACTCAGCAGAACTTAGTATATTAATAATGAAAGAAGAAATGAAAATTTCCCATTGGACTCTTGACCACCTTTCCCCACGATTTTTCCCCCTTCCAAAATGGAAAGAGTGGTATGCACGTGGCTCTTTGTCTGCACTGGTTTTGCAACTTCCAGAGGAGTGTCACCTTGGGAAACCTGTGGGATGCCTATGGCATTGCAGAAGACAACCTCCTGTAATGTGCCAGGGGCCAGTAATGTAAGGTGGCTCTTTCTTAGCCTGGTAGACTTTCCTGCTGCCCTGTTTTGTCTTGGCTCTCAGACCCAGTGACAGATGAATATGCTCTGTGAATATGGAAAGGAGTTTCAGGAGCCGGATAGCAAACTGCTGAAGAGCAGGGCATCTGGCATCTGACAGCCAAGGACTTGAGGTCTTCCATGTATTATTATTTTAAATTTTAGACTTGCCTGAATACATTCTGCACAGACCATTTATTATTAATAGTTATGTGACTGTGGATAAATTTAACATACTTCTCATAAACCCAAATTCTTCCCCTGAAGAATGCATTATTGTAGCAGTAGCTATTCTCCATCTTCTTATATTTAAAAAGAAAGGCTTCGTTTACTAAAAGAATTGCCCTGTACCACAAGTTCAGCCTGGCCTGTGGCTGCTGACAGAGTGACTATATTTTGTGGCCTTCTTAGCAAATAGCTGTGGACATGAGATCGAGTTGCACCTAGTGGAATTTGAGCAGAAGTAATGGGTGCAATTCTTAGCCTTGAACTTGAAAATGTTGGGTGTGAATATCTCACACTTGTTCGTCTCCTTTGCCATGGCTGGGAAATGGTGTCAACTGGAAAATCCAATTTGGAACAGGAGCTTATGATAGCAGAACCATTCTACCAGCTCCTTAGCACTCACTTTTGTACAATTATGTAAGAAAAACAAAAACTCTTGTTTAATCCACAAGCTCCCTTTTTATTAGTGCTTTTATAGTATGCCTTTTTGCATCATTTTATTTGTAATCTTTCTGTGTCCTTATATTTAAGGTTTTCTCTTCTAAGCATTACATATTTGAGTTCCCATTTAATTCAGTTGGACAATCTTTGTCTTTTAACTGTAATGTTTCATCTATTTACATTTAACTATTGGGCTTATACCTACTGCCTTTTTAATGTCTTCTAAGTAAATCAACTTTTTTTCCTAACATATATTTTAATGCCAATATTAGTTTCCATATCTATCTCTCTCTTGATATACTTAAGGAGAGATAATGTATTTTGGTTAATGTTAATAATAAAATTAGTTAAACATTTACTCATTTTTAGATATTTGCTAAGCATTTCATAGGCATTGATTTACTTAATTCACCTGTGAATTCTATGAAGTGGGTACTATTTTATCTCCATTTCACAGAAAAACAATTAGACAGTCAATGATAGATTAACTTACTCAAGGTTATCTTAATAAAGTGTGGTAGAGTACAAACTAGTTGTTCAGTAAATACCTTCTGAATGTGAAAGGGAAGAATGACCCCCACAGGGTGACCCTTCATGTTTTCTTTGCTGCTAAGTTTCCTCTTCTCACGTGCTTTTCTTTGGGATCAATTTGTGTCCAAGTAGGCAGCCAGTTAATGGCAACAGGTGAGCTGGGGATCTGGTCAAGATGAGAAGAGCTTATAAACTTGCCACTCAATTCAATAGAAAAATATGTGTAAAATATCACCTCTCTGCTACCAAGACTTACCAATCTTGATGGGGTGGTTAGATCTGATGGTGAACTACCTGCTGACTGCTTATGGGCATTTTCCTGTTTCCATTAGCTCTTAACACATCTGGATTGCATGGTGCATATACTTCTGTCTAACTGAAGACTCTGTCAGTAGACAGTCTGAAGGCACCTGTTTTATATAAACAATGAATATATATTTTTGAGAAACTCTGAAACTAAGGTTGGTAATTATTATTTTTTATTATCCTACCAGGCTATACCCTCACATGCATTGTTATCTAATTTATAGCATACAAGTTTCATATTGCCTCCGTCTTACAATGCAGACTTTCTTGAAATTCTTCCTGGCCCTAGGATACAGACCAAACAATTTCATGAAATAGTACCACACCACATGACTCAGGATGAAGAACCGACTTAGTTCATTTGTGTGTTTTCCTTCACAAGACTCCATCATAATTTTTGTAAAGAAATTAAAAGTATCTAGACTCCCTACAATGAAGAGACCATAAAATATACCATATGCCTGGGCATATTTCTGGAAGATAAAAAATAAAGAACAGCGATGAGGTATGCAGGATGAGGAAATGTAGAGATCTCAAAAGGAACTATGGCCATGGAGTGAGACATTCAATCTATAGAATGCTGGAAATGTGGAAACTCATCGTAGTTGCAAGACCATGGAGAAAAAAAAAATGAGAGGCCAAAAAGAGATTGATCCAAACTATCTCTACCTCCACCCTTGCAAGAGGAATGCCTTTTAGTCAGGAACTTATTTCCTTTAGGGGAAATGGAGTATCAATCCTAAAATCTCTAAGAAGACCCATCAATATGGATGTTGATACCCCAGAGTAAATACCTCTGAGTTCTGGTATTTAGTAATTCCACAATAGGATTCTATCTCGTTGTTTACTCAGTTTATAGGAAAATCTTCCGGTCAGCAAGCTTGTTCATGGACATAAAGCTTCCAATTGGTTGTTTTAGTGCCTCACCCTTAAGTAGGAATAAACAATCAAACTTTAGACGTTTAATGAAAGCTTATAACCCAGAATGGAAAAATCAAGATAATACAAAAACAAAACAAAACAAAAAGCAGCTTAGAAAATCTTCATTGTTGCTATCAAGGAGACCTATGAGGCTATTACAACCACAAAACAAGAACAGAGTGTGACAAAGAAGGAAAAGTCAGGAAATAAGAAGGAATTCTTATGGGAAAAGAAACACTTATGCACGGTTGGAGGGACTGCAAACTAGTACAACCTCTATAGAAAGTAGTATGGAGATATATCTTAAAGAGCTAAAAATAGACCTACCATTTGATCCAGCAATGCCATATTGGATATTTGCCCAAAAGGGAAAAAAAAAGTCATTTTTATCAAAAAGACATTTGCACTCAAATGTTTATAGCAGCACAATTCACAATTGCAAAGACGTGGAATCAACCCAAGTGCCCATCAATACATGAGTAGATTAATAAAATGTGGTATATGTATACCGTGGAGTACTACTACTCAGCCATAAAAAGTGGTGAACTAACATCTTTTGTAACAACCTGGACAGAACTGGAGATCATCTGTTGAAGCATTGCAAGAATGGAAAAACAAACACCACATGTACTCACTATTAAATTGGAATTAATTGATCAATACTCCTGTATACAAATGGTGTTAAAACTCAACAGAAATCAAGCAGGTGGGAGGAGGGAGAAGGGGATGAGTTCAATACACACTATCTGAGTGATGCACACACTTATAACGATGACTCAAACTATACAAAGCAATTCATGTAACCAAAACATCTGTACCCCCATAACATTCTGAAATTTTAAAAAATTGCCAAAGTTTAAGATAATGCATATAAAATAAAAGGACTATAAAATTTAAAAATAAATAGCCTATAAATACCCAATGCAATGAATAAAAAGAAGCCTAACTAGGCAGATGACTGTGAAATATAATACCACAGACAACAGGAAAATCTCAATAGCTCCAAGAAATAAAAAATAAAATACATTTAAGGAGCATGTTTCATACTGGCATCAGACTCCTCATCAAGCTTTACTAGAAGATATAACCGGTGCCCTCAATACTCAAATGGAAAATTATTTTAAATCCTGAATTCAGTACCTTGAAAAACTATCAAACAAAGATAGAAGAAAAAAGATATTTTCAGACCTAGAGGATTCAATTTCTTTTCTTGGTGGTTTGAATGGTGGTCCCCCAAAAGATGTATCCATATGCTAAGCCCCAGAGACTGTGAATGAGACCTTGCTTAGAAAAAGGGTCTCTGCAGATGGAATCCAGTCAAAGATCTTGAGATGAGATCATCTTCAATGATCTAACTGGGCCCTAGATCCAATGACACATGTCATTGGAAGACACCAAGGAGGAAAATCCATCAGTGGAGGAGGCTGATGGACGTGATACAGCCAAGAAGCCAAGGGTCACCTGGAGCCATCAGAAGCTGCAAGAAGCAAGGGAGGATTCCCCCCAGAGCCTCCTGGGGTAGCACAGTCCTGCCCACACCTTGACTTTGGACTTCTGACCTTGGGAACTATGAGAAAGCAAATGCATACATGGTTTTAACTCACCAGTTCGTGGTGATTTCTTGCAGCAGCCAGGAAAAAAACCCGAATATATTATTCCTCCTTGACCCATGCACTTAGGATGTTATTTGAGGCTGTGCACCGACAAAATGGGAGAACAAATCAAGAAAGAGGAAGAAGTAGACTCCAGAGGAGTAGGAATGTGAATTCAGGCTGACAATGAGTGACGGCTGGGGAGCAGGCAGTGAAGCGGGAGAAGCAAGAGCTCGGGGAGAAAGGCTTCATTAACTGACACCACCCACGAGACACTGCGGCAAAAGAAGGATGCAGGAAAACAGTTCAAGGCATTAAAGGAAAAAAGGAAGACAAATACAGAACAAGAAAAAAAAAAAATCTGTCAAACAAATGCAATAGAATCCCAGTACGCTACTAGGCTAGGTAGCGAATGTTCACAGCGTTGTGATAAAGCAACCACTGTTTATTAATTTACAAGTATTATATTCAAGTTATCTGCAAGCAAGAAAGTCTTAAGGCTCTGGAAAACACAAACTACAAAAATTGGGGGTGGTTGCACATAATCAATTAGGAAAACAGAAGAGATTGGAGGAAAGTGGGAAGAAATAATAGAGGTGATCATAGCCTTATATGTAAACAGGGGAAGTAAGTGCAATTTGTAATGAATAGAGTGATAAAGGTACGGTGAGAATATAACACTTGATGTTACAGATATTGCCAAGATAGAAACTAAAAATAGAAATACAATTATATTCTAGGAAAAGGACATAGAGCATTGTAGTATTGAGCTAAGTGTCCTCATCTCTCATATTAGTCAATAATGTCTAAAATTGATCAATCAAGAAATAGCTATAAACACACACATTTAGCAGTATAACTAAGCAATAAAAGAAATAAAACCAGAAAGAGTTAAAAATAATAAAAATCATTCCTTCTGGGTTATAGCCTGTAGATGACCAAGGGTAGTCTAAAGCAGCGGTCCCCAACCTTTTTGGCACCAGGGACTGTTTTCATGGAAGACAATTTTTCCACAGGACAGGAGGGAAAGGGGAGAGTTTCAGGATGATTCAAGCCCATTACATTTATTGTGCATTTTATTTCTATTATTACATTGTAATATATAATGAAATAATTATACAACTCACCATAGGTTGGGGACCCTGGTCTAAAGGACTATTTCCTTTTGTTCTAAGTACTTAGGTACTACAGTAATAGGGTATTGGGCAGGTGGGAGGGGGCAGGGGGGTCTATACATACATAATGAGTGAGATGTGTACCATCTGGGGGATGGTCATGCTGGAAACTCAGACTTGTGGGGAGGGGGTGGGAAAGGGCATTTATTGAAACCTTAGAATCTGTACCCCCATAATATTCCAAAATAAAAAAAAATACAATTTAAATCTTAAAAAAAAGAATAAGTACTTAGGTACGCTTTTGTGTTCTAACCATGTACATATATTAATTTGAAATAATGGTTTTCTAAAACAATTTCGAGCTTCCACTTGAAATGTAAAAAACTGAAAAGAATGTCCCTTCCACATGTATAACAGCAAAAACACCACAAAATCTGCCAATTTGCAATGAATCTTGAACCCATCAGAGGGCTGTGGCTAATCTGAAATCTGAAGACAGACAGGCAGGTCCAAGAAGAAATGGGATCTGAGCACGCACTTAGAGGTGGTGCATGCGGGAAGCCAAGCAAGCCTTCAGGAAGTCCGCGAGGCACCATGATGTCCTATGCCTGTATCCCCAGCTACTCAGCAGCACTTCATCCGGGGGGGTTTGGAGAACCTGTGGCCTCAAGGCCACATGTGGCCCTCCAGATCTCCACGTGCAGCCCCTCGATGGACTCCAAACTTCACAGAACAGATCCCTTTATTAAATGGATTTGTTTCTGTGAAATTTGGATTCAGTTAAAAGGCCACACTCAAGGATCCAGAAGGCCACATGTGGCTCCCACCCCCCCTCAGTCTCTTAAAAATAATAAGGAAAACTTAATGCTGACTGTGGGCTGCAAGGAAACAGAGCCACAGAGGAATCCACACCTGCCCCTTGCATGGATATCAAATTGTGCTCATAGGGAAGACTGAAACCATGGCAAGAACCTGGAGAAGGCCTCCCTCCTGCTGTAGGGATGGAAACAGGAGCCCAGGCTGGGTGGGAAAGCATGAAACTCACCCAGGTCCTTCTCCCCTGTCTCCCTGGGTACCAAAAGTCTTAAACCACTGGGGGAAAGGCAACAAACCTTGTCACCTCCAACACATAGGTGAAGCCCTACTGAATCCCAGGGGAGGAGGCAGGAGTACATTCTAAGCCCAAATCATAAGATGTCCCTGAATATGGGAAGAGGCACAGCATTAGTAAGAAGGCCACACCCTATGGCCCAGAGACATGGCATCTGCTTATATTTGAGGCTGAACCAGCAGGTGAGGTTACACTCCCTGTACCCCTATGGTCAGGATAGCAGGTGCCCAGTAACAAGTGACCATCCCCAACTAGAAGGTAGATCAAGAGCCTGGAAGAACAAGGCCTTCTCTGAGGCACAAGTGCAGAGGAAACACCCAGAGCTGAGGGCAAAGCAGTTTGCTTTGGCAGACCAGCTG